CTGGAGATGTAAAACAAATTAATGACAAAGTGAAAATTCTGGAGAGTAAGACAGAAGTTATGGACAGAGAGCTGTAAAGAGAATTAGATAATTTGGCACTACTGGAACTGAGAGGGAAGGAATTTTGTTTAAAATTCAGAGCAACTCCAGAGGATTTTGGTCAAGATATTAGAGAAAAGATTATTAAAGCTTTAGCAAATTTTTGGATCGGGATGAGAATACAGAGGCAGAAATTAGATACATAGAATAAATACAAGATTTGCGAGAATAAAAAATGTTCCAAGGGATGTCTTGGTGCACTTTGTCAGGAAGAAGACAAGAGACCAAGTTTTGCAGCAGCTTTTTAATACAAGACTAAAGACTGATAATACAGATTTATTTATTATCTGCTGCCCATCTCCCCCAGATGCAATTGTTCTTAAAGAAATTCCTATCAGAATCTTGTGTAACAGAAAAAAGTATTCTTTTTTATTTCAGCAGGAACTAAAGAAAGAAATGGAGTTGTTTTGTATATAAATTCCCAACTAAAACCAGAACTTGTATTGGCTGATGATCATGGTAGATTTGTTGGGGTGGAAATTAATTTGCATGGGACTAAGACTCTGATCTTGGAAACAGCTTTCTCTTATGAAAATTGGTGTTTGATGGGGGATTAGAATGGAGTGATCTCCCCACAACTGGATAGAACTTCTGAGAAAAATATTAAAAATATTAAAATTACTCAAGGTAAAATTACTCAAAACCCAAAAGTTTTCTTTGATTTGATGGACAATTTAGGGCTTGTGGACATATGGAGACAGAAAAATGGCAATTCAAGAGAGTACGCCTACTTTTCTGAAAGACATAGATCTTTTTCAAAAATAGATATGATATGGATTTCAAAGAATTTGGCTACTAAAGTTTCTAAAGTAGAGATGTTAAAAAGACTTTTTTGGATCATAATCCCGTGAGTTTGGTTTATAAAAGGAAATCCAGTTCTTTTAGGTGGAAACTAAATGAAATGTTGTTACAGAAAGAAGCAATAGTGGAGGACTGTAAAAAAAAAATTAAAATAACTTTTTGAAAAGAATTTAAACAAAGGTATTGATTTAAGAATGGTTTGGGATGCAGGTAAAGCTTTTATCAGACGTTACTTTATCCAGCATAATAGTGAACTCAAAAAAAAGAGTCAAGAGAAAACACAAACTATTTTGTGTGAGGTAAAGAGAAGATGAAGAATTAAAGAAATTTCCAGAGAAGATAAGTATTTCTCAACAAATTAAGCTTTTACAATGACAGTTATCTATGTTAACAGTAAAAGAAATGGAAATAAAAATGAATTATGTAAAGCAAAAAAAACTTTGAGTTTGCAAACAAACCAGGGAAATGGTTTGGCATATAAAGTACAAAAAGAAAAAGAAAGTTATACATGATAACTGCAATGAGATTATTGTATGCACAAAGATGGGACGATTCATCAATACCTACAATTGAGGAATGGTTGAAGATGATGGAACTCACTGAGATGGTCAAATTGACTTGTTTGATTAAAGAAAAGACAATATCTATGTTTATTGCTGACTGGAAACCCCTTATGGACTTTTTGTGGAAAATCGAAAAAATGATCTTATGATTTATGGTTTTTATGATTAGACAGGGTAGATTATAGAAAGAAGAGAGACGTGTTGTAACTTTAGAGAAAGAGGTAAATTTATAATTGTATTTCTAACTGCTGAATAGAAAATTGGAAGCCACTTCTTTGTATCTTTTTTCTTTCTTTTCTATTTTTCTTTAACTTTTTTTTCCTTTCTTGCACTTTTAGCACTCTCTTTGATTTCTTTTTTTCTTTCTCACTTTATATTAGTTTTCATCTTCCTTTTTAAAACCTTTAATACAATTATAAAAGAGAACACTGTAGTTCATCATGTTCCTCTTTCAAGCCTGTTTCATGTAATCTGTTATCACCTGACTCTGTGGGCTCAATGATCTGCAGGGTTATCTTTCAGGGTCAGGACTGCCATCCCATCTGCCAGCTGCTCTGAGATTGCTATGGGTGACTGGTGGCTGCCCTGCCTGCTGCCACTAGGGATTCACTAAAATTCTGCCTTTCTAGTGAGGCAAGGAAACTGTCCACCTGGCAAGAGATCCTGATGAGCTGTGCAGCCAGAAAGGTGGATGGTACAGGTAGGAGAGGGAGTTCCTGCAGTAGCAGCCAGGCCTCACTGATCAGCAGTCTGGACCTGAAGGCTTACGTGAGGCAATCAGGTGACAACAGTTCTCCTGACGCAGTGTGGTCTCCTAGGCCCCCCAGATGCTGATTCCCAGCAGTGCCAGCTAGCATGGCCAATAAAGAGGGAGGCTGGTAGCTGCAACTTAGTAGCATCTAGAGAACCCCGGGCTGCCCTCCCCAGGTATGGTTTCCTGCACCAGAACCACCGAGGGCTTACGAAAACCAAGCCATCTGGCTTGGCTTTACTCCACACATACCTATTGCCATGCAGGTGGCAGAAATAGTTTAAGACACCACAGGCATCTGCGGGGATGGGATGGGGTGGCTGGGTGTCAAGATGGCAGCTTTGAGCATATGGCTGGACCTGCTGTCTTGACTTTTTGACCTCCAGGCACTACTGTAAGACACTGGTGATAAAATGACTATGACCAAGAGGAGTGGGGGTGGGGGTAGAAGGAATATTGGCATGGGCTGCCCCCAAAGAATCAAGCAAACTCTTCTTTTCCCAGCCCATTACATTTCCAGGCAAGAAAAGAGGACCTCAGTTTCTCGGGAGCTCATCTGCTGCTTGTTGCAATAAAATATGACCGAATCAGGCAAAAACCAGAAGGTACTTCACCTCATAGACAGGAATGGTGCTCTTGACCTTTTTCGCTTTCAGATCCCACACGGTGCAAATCTTATCACGGCCAGAACTGCAATCAAATACAGGATGTGTTCACCCAGCATGTAAACTCAGTGCCACAGCTGTCTGCACGTAACACATTCTATCCAAGTAAGAAACCATATTAGGGTTTATATCATGAGCTGATACACACAATTCTCAGACAAGCACTGGCTTCCCGCAAGATGCTGCACCGTGAGTAATCCATGAGTCCATGAGTTTTGCAAAATCAGCCACAAGTTCATTACCAAACACGGGCAAATAAGAAATTGGGCGCAGTTATAAATACAAGAGCAAAATAGTTTCTATGCTTCGCTTTGGAAGTCTCACTGGGAGTGTGGTACTGTCACAATGCCCATATTACAGGTGAAAAAACTGAGACATGGGGGGACCGATCGGCCAACTTACGGCGCTGCCTAAACATAAACCTGGATCAAAATCTTGCATGTGTACTATCCCTGTAGAAGTATGTAATGGTAAACACTTTCATTCTTCCATTTTATTTTCTTTTATTCCATTTAATTCCATTTCTTTAGCTGTACATTTGCTTTCACTTGATTTTAGCAGAGGCTGCATCTCACCTCCACGATGGCCTTTCCTAAGCAAATGATGTGAAATTCGTATCATTTCATTGTTTCTGTATGACAGCATACTACCCAGACCCCGACTGTAAAATGGGAACAATCAGTCAAGAAGCAATGTTACAAGGCCATAAGCTACTGGAAAAGTGAGAAGCTTTTCATATTCAGGGCTGCATAAAGGACGAAAAAGAGCCAAACCTGTCCCTTTCAGGGTGCAAGGCAGCCTTCCGGGATTCTCACCTGATGAGGGTCTCGTTGTCTGGGCAGAATGAAAGAGAGGTGACTAAGCTGTAGTGGTTGTCCAGCTGGCTCACACACTGGCTGGACTTCAGGTCCCAAAGCCGGATGCTATTGTCCATAGAGGAGGAGAACAGCTGAGGCTGAGAGATGTCCGGGTGGAACTTGACAAGGCTGGCGAAGAGACAAAGCAGAAGAGTTTTCTTTCAAGAATGGCAGACACAACTCTTTCTGCTAGTCATCTGCACAAGGGCTACAATGGCCTGCCACGCAGAAAAGAGCCAGTCTGCTGTAGCGGTTAAGGGGCTGGATTAGACACCAGGAGACTGTGAGCTCTAGTTCCCCTTAGGCACGGGAGCTAGATGGGTGACTTTGGGCCACGCCCAACCCACTTGCAGGGTTGTTGTTGTGGAGAAAGCAGGAGGAGGGAGGGAGGAGGAAGCATTATGTACATCAACTTGACCTGTAAAAACTGAAGGCAGAATATGAATCTAATAAATAAATAAATGGAAAAACAGACAGATTCAGCTATGCATCCCATCCAGGACCTTCTATCTCATACTATGGCTGCTCTCATGGGACTGGCTGAGGTGGAGCAAGAGAAGGCTACTCTGTGGGCAGAGCAAGAAGGTCTTCACTTTGGAGTGAGTAAGACATGAAGCTAAGATGAACTGTCTCCGCTCACTCATTCTAGTTCACTTAGAGCAGTGTTGTCCAAACTTGGCCACCTAGGGGGAATGGGGTACCAACTCCAGACACACCCCACCCCCCCAGCCGGGCCGGGGGGTGGGGGGGGTCAAGCCCA